TGTCTAGGAATGTGAAAAAATCTTGTGGCCACTGTGTTTTATCTTTAAAAGATCTTAGGGCTACTGGTATTTTGTTTTTGAAAGAGTTTGAAGAAGGTTCAAGAAATCTTGAAGTTTCTTCAAGATTGTGAAATAATCTTGGGAGCTTCTAGTGTTTTGTTTTGCCAAGAGTTTAAGGGACCCTAAGTGTCCTTTTCTAGGAATGTGAAAGAATTTTGCGCCCTAGTGTTTTGTTTTTAAAAAGATGTGAAAGAATCTTGGGGCCTTTCTTCTCCTTTATAAGAGGGTGATAGCATCTTGGAGAACTTTGATGTTTTCCTTTGAGATTTGGAGTAATTTTAGGAGCCAGTGGTGTTTAAAAAAGTTTCACGGACTCTTGGTGCTTTTTTAATATTGTGAAAGCATCTTGCAGCCCTAGTGTCTCTTTAGGAGAGGCTTGGTGTTTTTTCTTTTTTTTTCAGCATGTAAAAGAATTTTGCGGCTCTGGTGTTTTGTTTTTGAAAGGGTGTAAAATAATCTTGGGGTCGCTGGTGTTTTCGTTTTGAACAGATTTTAAAGGATCTTAGTGCCCCTTCATGTTTTACTTGAGGATTTGGAAGAATCTTGGGAGCGAGTGGTGTCTTTTTTTTAAGAATGTGAAAGAATCTTGGCAGTCCCTTGCCCTTGAGTTTGATCTTTGAAAAGTCTACTGGTGTTTTGCTTTTGAAAGAGTTTCAAAAAGTTTCAAGAACTTTTGGGTTTTTTTTTAAGGGCGTGAAAAAATCTTGGCAGTCTCGTGTGTTTTAGCTTTAAAAGGTCTTGGGGCTACTGAGTTTTGCTTTTGAAAGAGTTTGAAAAAGTTTCAAGGACTCTTGGGTTTTTTTAAAGACTGAAATAATCTTAGAGGCTTCTTGCGTTTTCTTTTTGAAAGAATTGTAAAGAATCTTGGGGGCACCTAGCATCTTTATCAAGAGCGTGAGAAAATCTTAGCAATCTCTTGTATTTTATCTTTGGAAGGTCTTGAGGCTACTGGAGTTTTGCTTTTGAAAGAGTTTGAAAAAATCTCAAGGACTCTTGTTTTCTTTTAAGATTGAAATAATCTCGGGGGCATCTTGGAGACCCCTATTGGATTAATTTGGAAATATTTGGAAGAATTTAAGAACCAGTTGTTTTTTTTTTTTTTAAGAATTGTAAATAACCTTGAGAGCCCTTTGTGTTTTATCGTTAAAACATTTTGGTGCTACTGATATGCTGTTTTTGAAAGAGTTTGAAAAAGCTTTCAAGGACTATGGGTATTTTTTACTTCTCGAGCGTAACTAAGGAAGTGTAATAATCGAGTCCATCGGACGAATTGCCACTTTTATGTTTTCTCGACGTTTCATGACCTTTTCAGTGCAAAAAACGTAGTCTCCCGTTTCCGTCTGTCTGTCTGTCTGTATCCATTTATATTAGACACGTAATCTCCGAAACTGCTGGACTGATTGTTGTCCAATTTTGTATGTATTTTAGAAATATCATGTAGGTGGTTAAATGCTAGCCAAAATTTGGCTACTTATCGCCTTCAACAATTTGATGACGCCATCTCATTCTTTGTTTTTTTTTTTTAATATATAGAATTTTTTTCAGCAACAGGATAGTTAAACATGTTTGCAGTTTCTTGTTGGGAAAAGAAGATTTCTTATATTAAGTAAAAAGGGACAAAATATAAGCCCCGCCCACCCACCCATTCTCAATTGTGATGAATATTTTATTCATGAGCTTAATCTTTGTTTTTTTTTTTTAATGTATAGAATTTTCTTTCAACAACAGAATAGTTAAACATGTTTTCAGTTTCTTGTATGGAAAAGAACACTTCTTGTATTAAAAAAAAATTTACAAAATATAAGCCCCGCCCACCCACCCCTTCTCAATTGTGATGAATATTTTATTCATCGTGAGCTTAATCTTTGTTTTTTTAATGTATAGAATTTTCTTTCAACAACAGGATAGCTAAAAATGTTTTCGGTTTCTTCTTGGGAATTGAAGACTTCGTATATGAAAAAAAAAATTGACAAAATATTAGCCCCGGCCACTCACCCCTTCTCAATTGTGATGAATATTTTATTCATCGCGAGCTGGTAGGGCGGAGTTTAGCTGCAAAATTCTCATTTCTCTACAAGAAATTACCATATGAAATATGTATGTTTTTAAAAGGGTAAAATTTTTTAGATAAATATTGATGTTACAATTAAACTCTGCCCTACAGGCTGATTAGGAATGAAAATCTCATCACAATTGAGATCGGGACGGGTGGGTGGGGCTTAATCTTTGCTTTTTTTTTTTTTAATATATAGAATTTTCTTTCAACCACAGAATAGTTAAATATATTATCAGTTTCTTGTTGGGAAAAGAAGACTTCGCATATTAAGAAAAAATGTACCAAATATAAACCCCGCCCACCCACCCCTTCTCAATTATAATGAATGCTTTATTCATTGTGAGTTGAAGGGTGGAGTTTAGTTGCAAAATCCTCATTTCTCTACAAGAAATTACCATATGAAATATATATGTTTTTAAAAGGGTAGAATGTTTTCAAGAAATATTGATGTTACAATTAAACTCCGCCCTTCGCTCTGATTAGGAATGAAAAACTCATCACAATCGAGATAGGGGCAGGTGGGTGGGGCTTAATTTTATTTTTTTTTTTAATATATAGAATTTTCTTTGAATAACAGGATAGTTAAATATATTGTCAGTTTCTTGTTAGGAAAAGAAGACTTCGCATATTAAGAAAAAACAGACCAAATATAAGCCCCGCCCGCCCACCCCTTCTCAATTGTGATGAATTCTTTATTCACCGTGAGTTGAAGGGCGGAGGTTGATTGAAAATCTTCATTTCTCTACAAAAAATTAGCATATGAAACATGTTTCTAAAAAGGTAGAATTTTCTAGAGAAATAGTATGTTACAATTAAACTCCGCCCCTCGTCTTATTAGGAATGAAAAACTCATCACAACTGAGATCGGAGCGGGTGGGTGGGGCTTAATCTTTCTTTTCTTCTTTTTTCCTTTCTATACATAGTTTTCTTTCAACGATTTTTTGCCGCAAAGAACAAGAGATATTATAATAAAAAACATAAAGTTAATCTATTATTCAATAATTTTGGACTGTACTCCTAATGTAAGTCGTTTTTCTCGAAAAACTGAAGAAATGAAAAACTGAAACAAAAATTTCAAATAGGAAAAATTAAAAATTGAAACTCGAGAAACACAAATCGAAAAATTGCAAAATCTAGAAATTGAATTGAAAAGTTGAAAAATTAAATTTAAACTTCAACTCGAAAAAATGAAGGAACAAAATAAATGAAAAACTGAAGAAAAAATTCAAGTCTAGGTTTATACTTTATAGAGGTTATCAGAAAACAAAAATCGCAAAAAAAAGATAATTTTCAGAGAAATGGGATTTTCTGTTGAAATAACCTTCGACCCATTTTTTTAAGATTGTGACAGCATCTTAGAGGTTTGGTTTTTTTTTCTCAGAATCTGAAAAAATCTTGAGAGCCTCTTGTGGGAGAATTGTAAAGAATCTTGGCGGCACCTAGTATTTTCCAAGAGCGTGAAAAAATTGTGGCAGTGTCTGTTGTGTTTTATCTTTAAAAGATCTTGTGACTACTGGTGTTTTGCTTTTAAAAGAATTTCAAGTACTAACTCTTGGGTCTTTTTTAATACTGTGAAATAATCTGGGGGCTCCTAGTGTTTTCTTTTTGGAAGAATTGTAAAGAATCTTGGGGCACCTCTAGTATCTTTTAAAAATCTTTTATCAATATTTTGTGTTTTATCTTTAAAAGGTCTTGGTGCTACTGGGGCTTTGCTTTTGAAAGAGTTTGAAAAAGTTTCAAGGACACTTGGGTTTTTTTAAGACCGAAATAATCTTGGGAGCTTCTTGTGTTTTCTTTTTAGTAGAATTGTAAAGAATCTTGGGGGCACCTAGTATCTTTTTCAAGAGCGTGAAAAAATCTTGACAGTCTCTTATGTTTTATCTTTAAAAGGCCTTGGAGCTACTGGAGTTTTGCTTTTGAAAGAGTTTGAAAAAGTTTCAACGACTTTTGTTGTTTTTTTTTTTTTTTTTTTTATATATATATAATACTGTGAAATAATCTTGGGGGCTTCTTGTGTTTTCTTTTTAGAAGAATTATAAAGACTCATGGGGGCACCTAGTATCTTTTTCAAGAGCGCGAAAACATCTTGACAGTCTCTTATGTTTTATCTTTAAAAAGTCTTGGAGCTACTGGGGTTTTACTTTTGAAAGAGTTTGAAAAAGTTTCAAAGTTTTTTTTAAGACTGAAATAATCTTGCGGGCACTTGGTATCTTTTTCAAGAACGTGAAAGAATCTTGGGGTCTCGCAGTGGCTTCTGACATTTTTTTCTTCAAAAAATTTGAAAGTCTTTGGAAACTCAAGTGCCTTTTTTAAGAATCTGAAGGAATTTTGGCAGTTCCTTGTCTTTTATTTTTGAGTGTTACTCTTTTTTTCAGAAGAGATACAAATTTTGGCAGGTCATAAATTTACACCAAGTATCTTTAAATGAGCTTTTTTTTAATATGTAGTGTGAAAAAAAAAAATAACAATGTATGCTTGACTAAAAAGGTTTTTTTAGAAAAAGACAAAAATATATATTATGTAAGCTGAAGATAGGCATTTACACTTCCTGTCAAAGTTATGTCAGAATTTTTTTTTTCTGGTAGTTCCACATTTTTAAAGTATTTGTTTTAAATAAATATTCATTAAAAATAATGTTGTTTCATGTAAGGTATGTTCTTAAGAAGAGTCCTTACGGAAGAAACGGTTGTTTCGAAAGTTAAGATAAGCATATTTTCGACTTTCCTTTAGAATGTTGTCCATATTTTTGAACCACACTTTATAACATGTTCATACTTTGTAAGTACTAATAAGTCGTAATAAGTCTTCCTAAGCTACAAGACTTATTACAAATTTTTATAACAATAATTGTTTGTTCTATTAACTGATGTTTCTTTCTTTTCAGGTACACCAAAATGGTGGTGGATGTTGGCCTTGACATGCAAAAGTACAACCCCGAAGTGAAACCGATGACGAATCTGCAGAACGTTGATCCTCGCGTCGCCGATCTCGTTGACAAATTGCGACATGTTCATCATGTAGGTTTTCCACCCCTATTTCTTGTTAACCTTTATTACCCTTATTTAATTGACATAACCATACATCTCCATGTATCACTCTTTGTTCTAATTCGAACTGTACACCTCGAAGCGCCCTTGAAAAGCGGCCATTCATCACGAAATCGCGTTATCTTAATAGAGTAAATAAATCAAATTGTGTAAGTGTTCATTTAATACCGGACGAATTTGACTCCGGAGCTCAAAATCGTCGGATGGTGTACTGTTAGCGACCTGTCACTACTGTTGTTGACGTAACAAAGATTAAATTGCAAGAAAAATGGTGCCTGAATACAACGTAGCCAACCGTTCCGGAAAAATTATAGCTTGCGAAGAGGTAAACGTATACGGCTGATGTTATTCAAAACAATTACTATAAACGGAAACCCGGTGCAATTCGCCGAAACGTTTAAATATGAAAATCCAATTGCATTATAAATTGGCGTGTTTTTGTTCGCGTTTTCAGTTTCTGGAACGGTTATTCGGAACATGTAGATTGAATTACAATGCCAACAATACTATCAACTAAATAATTTTGCAGCTTTGTTTCCGAACAATTGAAAAATAGAAAAGCAGTTGAAAGGAGTTAATTTTGTATAAAATGCCACTATAATACGGTCTGCGTGTCTGCGTTATTGCAGAAAATGCGTCACGGGCGCGAATGAATTGTTTAATTGATGCGAAAATGGGAAAACTACGTACAAAGTGAAAGCGTCATAACGCTAAAATAAAATATTCGGTATATTGCCTTGTTCATTTCATATAAATACAGAGTTTTTAAATAAACATTTTTTGAGGATTTATCTTTTTCAAATTTTCAAAAAAATGTTTCATAGTTAAAAACAAATTAAACAAAAGTTCTATCAGATGGACATTTTTTGGTTTGAAAAATTCATCACCCACCCACGGGTGGGCGGGGCTTAATCATTGGTTTTAACCTCAAATATTCCCCATTTTATCTGTTGCCAACTGTTCAAGTGAAAACACCAAATTCGATAAGTACGTTTCACACTAAACAAATTTTTTTTTTATATTTTTAATAAAAAAGACATTGCCCCCCCCCCCCCCCCCATTATTTAAACCCTCGGAAAAAACACACTCGGAACCTACAAATTCTTTCATAATCTTTTTAAAAAGACAAGAGGTCTCCGAGATTCTTCCGTACTCTTTTCAAAAAAACACTTGGAATCTCCGAGATCCTTTCATGATCTTTTAAACAGGCATTCGGGACATCCGAAATTGCGTCATATTCATTTATAATAGACAGTTTCGTTCGTGATCTTTTTAAAAAAGACACTAGGGGCCCCCAACATTCTTTAGTAATCTTTTTAAAGAATCAAACAAGTACGAATTTAGCAATCAAGCCCCGCCCCTTGATTTGACAACAAATTAAAGATTCAGCAAAATGGAGGAAGGGAGGGTGGGTGGGGTTTAATCATTGGCTTCTTTTTTGTAATGTACATGGTTTTCTTAAAAAAAAAAGATACGTAATTTTAACCTGAAATTTACCATTTTATGTTTTAATTATTTTATTGTTGAAAGAAAACTGTAAATTACGGAAAGCAACTCGGTGGATATGCCCCACCCACCCGCCCCACTTCCATTGTAATCAATATTCTTATTCGTTGTGTGACGAGGGGCGGAGCTTAAACACAAAGTTTATAGTTCTCTAAAGAAATTACTACGTGAAACATGTTTAAAGTATCGTGTTGTTGAAGAAAAGAAAAAACTAAAAAAATAGGCACCACCCACCCGCCCCGATTTCAGTTATGATAAATCTTTCATTCGTTATGAGATCGGGGGTGGAGCCTAATTGTAAAGCCCATACTTTTGAGAAATGGTCGCATTGAAGAAAATAGACCATTTTGAGTAAAAAAAAATTAGTCCATGAATATTCTTCAAGTCAAAGGGTAAGCCCCACCCACCCGCGCTAACCTAATTGTGATTAATTTTTTTATTCGTCGTGAGACGGGGGGCGGAGCTTAAATGAAAAGTTCGTAAGTGTCATAATCATTTAAAATTGACACACGCGGCCCTCGAGATTATGCCAAAATTATTTAAAATAGACACTTTGGGTCCCAAGATTTCTTCATAATCTTCTTAAAGAAGATACCCAAAACCCACGAGATTATTCAATAATCTTTGTAAACAAACAAATATGACAACAAATGAAAAATTCGTCACAATTGACAAAGGGACGGGTGGATGGGGCTTAATTATTCATTCGCTTCTTTTTGTTAACATATATACATATATATGTAGTTTTCTTTCAACAATACGAAACTTAAAAAATTGGGACACCCGAAATTGTGGCATAATAATCTAAAAAAAAATTCGTGGCCCCTAAGATTCCTTCATAATCTTCTTAAAAAAAGACACTCAAGACGCCCGAGATTCTTTAATAATATTTTCAAAGAATCAAACAAATATGAATTTTGCAATTAAGCTTCGCTCTCGATCTGACAACAACTGAAAATTCATCGAAATGGAGATAGGGCGGGTGGGTGGGGCTTAATCATTGGCTTCTTTTTCGTAATGTACATAGTTTTCTTTCAAAAACAATACATAATTTTAATCTCATTCACGATTGTATGTCTTAAATATTTTATTGTTGAAAGAAGACTATGTATATTACGGAAAGAAAATGGAAGGATATGCCCCACCCACCCGCCCCACTTCCATTGTGATCAATATTCTTATTAGTCGTTAGACGGGGGGCGGAGCTTAAACGCAAAATTCATAGTTCTCTAAAGAAATTACAATGTAAAACATGTTTCAAGTATCGTGTTGTTGAAAGAAAACTGCACATTTAAGAAAAAGAAGTCAACAAATAGACCCCGCCCACTCTACCCGATTTCAGTTATGATGAATATTTCATTTGTTATGAGATCGAGGGGTGGAGCCTAATTGCAAAGTCCATAATTTTGAGAAATAGTGGCATTGTAGAAAATAGACCATTTTAAGGAAAAAAAAAATAGAGCATGAATGTTCTTCAAGTCAAGGGGTAAGCCCCACCCACCCATCCCATCTCCATTGTGATCAATTTTTTTATTCGTTGTGCGACGGGGCGGAGCTTAAATGATAAGTTCGTAACTGTTATAATCATTTAAAATTGACACACGTGGCCTTCGAGATTGTGTCAAAATCATTTAAAATAGACACTTGGGACCCCAAGATTCCTTCATAATCTTCTTAAAAAAGACACCGACATTCTTTAATAACCTCTTTAAACAAACAAATACGAATTTTGCAATTAAACTCCGCCCTTCGAGCTGACGATCAATGAAAAATTCGTCACAAATGAGAAAGGGGCGGGTGGGTGGGGCTTAATTAAGCATTGGTTTCTTTTTCTTAATATTATATATATAGTTTTCTTTAATCAACACGATACGTAAAACATAATTTTAACCTCAAATTCACCATTATAATTATGTTTTAAATATTTTATTGTAGAAAGAAAACTGTGTATATTACGGAAAGAAAATAGAAGGATATGCCCCACCCACCCGCCCCATCTCAATTGTGATTAATTTTTTTATTCGTCGTGGGACGGGGACGGAGTTAAATCAAAAGTTCGTAAGCGTCATAATCATTTAAAATTGACACACGTGACCTTCGAAATTGTGTCAAAATCATTTAATTGACACTTGTGGCTTCCGAGATTTCTTCATAATCTTCTTAAAAAAGACACTTGGGACCCCCGAGGTTCTTTAATAACCATTTGAAATAAACAAATATGAATTTTGCAATTAAACTCCGCCCTTCGATCTAACAACAAATGAAAAATTCGTCGCAATTGAGAAAAGGGCGGGTGGGTGGGGCTTAAATAATCATTGGTTTCTTTTTCTTAGCATATGTGTATAGTTTTCTTTCAACAACATTAAACTTAAACCATTGGGACCCCCGAAATTGTGTCATAATAATGTAAAAAAAATTCGTGGCCACCTAGGTTCCTTCATAATCTTCGTAAAAAAAGACCCTCAGGACGTCCGAGATTCTTTAATAATATTTTCAAAGAATGAAACAAATATGAATTTTGCAATTAAGCTCCACCCTCGATCTGACAACAAATGAAAAATTCGTCACAATTGAGAATGGGGTGGGTGGGTGGGGCTTAATTAACCATTGGCTTCTTTTTCTTTATATTGTATAGTTTTCTTTCCACATCACGATACTTAAAACATAATTTTAATTTCAAATTAACGATTTTATGTTTTAAATATTTTATTGTTCTAAGAAATCTATGTATATTATATATTGTTGAAAGAAAACTGCACATATTAAGAAAAAAGAGTCAACAAATAGGCCCCGCCCACCCGACCCGATTTTAATTATGATGAATATTTCATTTGTTATGAGATGGATGGGTGGAGCTTAATTGCAAATTTCATACTTTTGTGGAATAGTCTTGTTGCAGAAAATAGACCATTTTGAGAAAAAATGGGGCATGAATATTCTTCAAGTCAAGGGGTAAACCCACAGACCCTCCCCATCCCAATTCTGAGTAATTTTTTTATTCGTCGGAGACGGAGGCGGAGTTACATTAAAAGTTCGTAAGCGTCATAATCTATGGTCATAATTATTTAAAATTGACACCCGTGGCCCTCTCGATTGTGTCAAAATCATTTAAAATAGACACTTGGGACCCCAAGATTCCTTCATAATTTTCTTAAAAAAGACACCGAGATTCTTTAATAATCTCTTTAAACAAACAAATATGAATTTTGCAATTAAACTCCGCCCCTCAATCTGACAACAAATGAAAAATTCGTCACAATTGAGGAAGGGCGGGTGGGTGGGGCTTAATTAATCATTCGTTTCTTTTTGTTAACATATACATATATAGTTTTCTTTAAACAATGTAATACTTAAAGCATTGGGGCGCCGAAAATTGTGTCATAATCATTTAAAATAAACATACGTGGCCCCCGAGATTCCTTAATAATCTTTTTAAATAAACAAATTGCATTTTGTAATTAAACTCCGCTCCTCGAGCTGACGACAAATGAAAAATTCGTCACATTTGAGAAAGGGGCGGGTTGGTGGGGCTTAATTAAGCATTGTTTTTTTTTTTCTTAATATTATATATATATATATATATATATATATTTCTTTCATTAACACGATACGTAAAACATAATTTTAACCTCAAATTCACCAGTATATGTTTTAAATATTTTATTGTTGAAAGAAGACTATGTATATTACGGAAAGAAAATAGAAGGATATGCCCCACCCACCCACCCCATCTCAATTGTGATTAATTTTTTATTCGTCGTGGGACGGGGGCGGAGTCAAATGAAAAGTTCGTAAGCGTCATAATCATTTAAAATTGACACACGTAGCCTTCGAAATTGTGTCAAAATCATTTAATTGACACTTGTGGCCCCCGAGGGTTTTTAATAACTGTTTTAAATAAACAAATATCAATTTTCGCAATTAAAGTCCGCCTTTCGATCTGACAACAAATGAAAAATTCGCCACAATTGAGAAAGCGGCGGGTGAGTGGGGCTTAAATAATCATTGGTTTCTTTTTCTTAGCATATGTGTATAGTTTTCTTTCAACAAGATTAAACTTAAACCATTGGAACCCCGGAAATTGTGTCACAATAATCTAAAAAAGAAATTTGTGGCCACCTAGATTCCTTCATAATCTTCTTAAAAAAAGACACTGAGGACGCCCGAGATTCTTTAATAATATTTTCAAAGAATCAAACAAATATGGATTTTGCAATTAAGCTTCGGCCTCGATCTGACAACAAATGAAAAATTCATCAAAATGGATATAGGGCGGGTGGGTGGGGCTTAATTAATCATTGGCTTCTTTTTCTTAATATTATATAGTTTTTTTTCAACAGTACGATACTTAAACATCATTTTAACCTCAAATTCAGCATTTTATATTTTAAATATTGTATTGTTGAAAGAAAACTATGTATATTACGAAAAGAAAATCGAAAGGTATGCCCCGGCCACCCGCCCCACTTCCATTGTGATCAATATTCTTATTGGTCGTTACACGGGGGGCGAAGCTTAAATGCAAGTTCATAGTTCTCCACAAGAAATTACTGTGTGATGCATGTTTTAAGTATGGTGTTGTTAAAAGAAAACCGCACTTATTAAGAAAAAAGTCAAAAAATAAGCTCCACCCACTCGCTCCGATTTCAATTATGAATCTTTCATTCGTTATAAGATCAGGGGGGTGGAGCTTAATTGCAGCAAAGCTTATACGTTTGAGCAATGGTTGTATTGTATAAAATAGACCATTTTGAGGAAATCTCAATTGTGATTAATTTTTTTATTCGTCCTGACACGGGGGGCGGAGCTTAAATGAAAAGTTCGTAAGTGTCATAATCATTTAAAATTGACTCACGTGGCCCTCGAGATTGTGTCACAATCATTTAAAAAAAATAGATACTTGGCGCCTCAAGATTCCTTCATAATCTTCTTAAAAAAGACACTTGAGACCACCGAGATTCTTTAATAATCTTTTCAAAGAATGAAACAAATATGAATTTTGCAATTAAGCTCCACCCTTGATCTGACATCAATTGAGAATGGGGCGGGTGGGTGGGGCTTAATTTATCATGTTTTTTGTTCTTAATATTATTTAGTTTAAATTAAAATAGACACTTGTGACTCCCGAGATTCCTTCATAATCTTTTTAAAAAAGGCACTGTAACAAAAGATCTAAAATACATAACGGTTCTAGAAGATTTGCTCTAAAATATTCGTTTGACTGCCAACTGTTTAGCACAAAAAGTACTAAAATATTTAGTAAATTTGCAATAAATTTTCTCTTCTTTCTGCTCCAAAAAATTTAGTGCTAATCATTGTTTTTCAGTGGATATTAAATTTTGAATCTTCATATTTTTTTTCAGATGGCTATGTCGTCAATAGGTTCCACTGGCGCTGAGGTGGACTACATGCAACGCGACGGTTTCGAAGGTTCCGGTTCTGGAAACGGCCCAGACGATGACAACGACGACGAATACAACCCCACCGGATCCGGTTCAGGCACCGGTGCAATACCTGAAGGTAAACGTCATAATTTTTGTCTTCGCACCAACACTAATTCTTGTGTTTTGCAGAAGAGCCCCGAAATATTAACAACGTGCACGCATCCCCAGGTCCCAAGAACACAGACTCCTCCTCCAAGAACAAGCAATCAACGACCACCACTGCCGGAGACGCGTCGACTCTTCAGTCCTCTATATTCTTGTCCCTTGCTCTCCTCCTACTCGCAAGACTACATTAGAGACTTTAACGAGAACGACTAGACTTTAAAGTGAGATTTTTGTTCTGAGGAAAGTGTAGAAGAGGAAGATGTTTCTATATTGTTGTTGACGTTTGACGGATTGAATAGGCCTGGATTTATATTTACAAAGAGAAACCGGAGGCAGATTTAAGAATTGGCTGTTTATAAATCTAAATATTTATTGTATGTAATAGGACATTTAGACGCGATCTATAAATGTAAAAACGTGTTTAGGAGCCCCATCCGATTTCCCCATCATTGTAAATAGCTGATTGTTAGCGTAAATGATGAGACTGTATGTAGGTGTTTAGGATTTTATTTTTTATCGAGTTGCCAATCTAGAATAACGCTTCCTTGCCTCTGAGGCAGATTCGTTTCATAGTTGGCCGAATTATCCAAAACCGCCAGATTTCTTCTCCTGGACTGATGCATCTAGTCTGAATGCCATAATAATTTTAGTTTCTCGCCTCGCGGAATGTGGCGCTTGCGAGACGACGTGGAATCGACGTCTCGGCAACGTCGCATGCTTGTGTGAGGTCTAGGCGCTCAAGACGCTTCATCGCGGCAACTATGAAACGAAACCTTACACTATAGTTGTTTTGGTCCTTGGTTCGGACGAAAATTTTGATTGACAGTCAATTGTTTGATTCTTTTGATTGTTGATGTATTTTAAAAATACAAATGTCTTTCCAATTGGGTAGTTACAAAGTAAAGTGTGGAGCTTTATTTTGTGGTTAGTTATTTGTGTGCAGAACAAACCGTGGAAAACTAAAAGTATGGAAGAGCGTGGTTGTGTGTAGATATGTAGTTTTATAGGAATATTTGTATTCTTTAAATTATTTTGAGAATTGTCTGTGATTGAACTATTTTATTATTTAATTAATTGTAAAATTTAATGAACTCAAATTATTTACGCGACTACGAAATTTAAAAGAAAGTGTCTGTTTTTATAAAACAGAGTGATTGGCTCTTAATCTTTGTACAGTGAAAAGTTGAATTATGGCGAAAGTATATAAGCTAGTTATCGAAAAGTTATACATGTAGGATTCTTAATATGTTATCGCTGGAAATCTCGGCGGATAATGTGTAGATAGAAGCTATAATATTAGAAGATAATCAAGTTTTTTCATTTTTTAAGTGTTTTTATTAATTTTGCTTTCTGCCGTCACCTTTCGTAATATTTTTGCATATCATATTTAAGCAATAAGTCCGACGGATCCGTATTTAAAAATATTTAAATTTTATGCTCACTAACAAAAATTTCGCATCGAAATTCGATTAACTACTAGTCTTAGAATTATGTTTAAATCTGCAATTTTTATTTATAATTATTTGTATTATACGCCTCTATTTTGGTAGAATAAATTCATAGCTGCCTTTTTTAATCATTGTTTCTGTTCTCCTACACCTCACATGCAACTCAATCATTCCACGTTTAATCTTAAACTTAAAAGTGCCAAAGGGGACAATTTAAAGATGAATAATCCCGCACACTCTTCACTATTAATTGATTGCCCAACGGCGTCACGCTCCACCAATAAAACCACGCTATTAATGGCCACGCACTTCTTTTGCGATTGATAAATTTTACAATGCAGCTGCTCGACAAGAAAATAAAAACTTATTACAATGTTGTAGCAACGTTTCGACATCTGCAAACTAGAAAATGGGCACATGTATTCTCAAGTTTATGGGTGGTTTTATGGCTGACCATTAGTTTTAACAGCCTCACTGTAAAAGGTCAGCGTTATGGCGAAGATTAGCCAGTAATGTGAGGGTCAACATATCTGACTTAAGTAGATAATTTTTATGGACAATACAATGTGCAGTTGTGCATTGTTTTGTCATTAAGATGTCTGCGTGGTTCAAGAAGCTGAGAGGTTCAAAGTACTGATGATCAGGAGATTGTTGATTGAGATGATTAAAGAGGGTGCTGAGGCGACTTTTACCCAAAAATATGTGACTCTGTGACAGTTTTTATTATATTTTTAAGCACAGTGGTCAAATCGGTTTATTTTTGTGGCGCTATCTGTCGTGAAGGCAAGGAAATACAACATCGAAACGTCATTTTGTAGCTACTCCAAGGTTCTGTGTTGAGGTTCTTGTTATTAGATTTATATTAATGACATTGTTGACGTATGTTAGGAAAAATATAATCCGCTCTCTGAATCATAAGTAGTAAGACATCAGTCGTAAAATATTTGCAATTTGTTTAAAGTAGTAAGACAAAAGTCAAATTCAGTAGTGAGCAAATGACGAACTGAAACATTGCTTGCTCATTTTTTAACATAATTGTTATAAACAACAATAAAAACATTTGAAAACTGGAGAAAAACCAATTATTGTAAGTAAATAGTTTGCCGCAACCCACAATACACCGGTGTAAACTGAGTCATCGGTCTATCGCCTCCACAAAACCGTAATTTTCGCAAAAATGCAGACTTTTACAAAAATGGTAGACGAAAAGTCGTGAAATTATTCATTGTGTGCTACCATAGTCCGAATTTTCGTTTTCTGGGTGTTGAGAGCGGTCTAATTCGTGTTTCTTTCTTTCGATTTTGATTTTGGCGGTTTCGCGACGCATGCGCCCCTGCCGGCACTCGTGCGAAGGATGGTAAATTCTGCTGTCTGTCGATCTCTGTGGCAGACAGTAGAAGGGTGCGCCGAACATGTTTCATGTGTGTGTAGTGCAGACAATTTTTTTGTTGAAAATGTGTTTTATACCTTAAACTAGTGTGATATTAGTGTTAAATCAGGCAATCATCACCGCGGACTGTAATGTGTTTCATACGTTTCCCCGTGTACACCTAAGCACACACACACCACGAAAACCATCATTATTTTGGTAATCATTCTTGAACAACAAAACTCAAAATGGCGCATCAAATGCCCCCATCGGTGAACTGTTCGCTGGACGAAATCGACCTAACCGCCCTCAAAGTAAGTACCATCTAAAACGTCCCATATTTTCGCCCATCGCCTCCGTCCAGCCGGCCATTTTGTTCCTAGCCGTCTTTTTTCCATGTAAACATGTCATCTTATTTTGGGTGTGTGAGTGATTCATTTTTGTTTCGCGACACGCATTCTTGATTGGGGCAATAATCGAGTGCATTGTCCTTGCAGGATCCCGCAGGAATCTTCGAGCTGATCGAGGTCGTGGGCAATGGGACCTACGGACAGGTTTACAAGGTAAGAATTCGGGAAGTCGTCTCGTCGTGCTTCCCATGGAGAAACAATAGCCAATCATTAGTGTTAACAGCCTCCTGCGATGATAATGCTAAATTAGCCGAGCCAGTTTCACACCCGCCCATCGGCCGTGTTGTCAAACTTTGGCTTGCAGAAAACTGACAGGCGATTACGTGCCCGCGGGTTTTATTTCCAGTAATAAAAGCGAATTTGTTTATTGTGAGTCACGCGTTACGATTTTGTTTTTGCACGTCAGTGCAACCACAGCCTCCGAGATCGGAATTAGGTGTAATTGACGACCACTATCGTTCATTATCTTAGACAAAAAACTGTTTTGTTTTGGCATTGAACGAGCGATCGTCATTGTTTGGATGGAGCCCGAGGGCTTCAAACACCGAAGAACGTCACTACAAGGTGTTAACTTTTTTTTGTGCTTCGAACGCCCACGATGGACATTCTCAGGGCCGCTTTTTAAAAGTCAATAACAACCAAATTGATAAATTGGTCAATTAGTGAATCTAACGATTTGCGAATAGTGGTGGTCGTTGCATGTATGAATTTTGGAGGGGATGACAAAGTACGGAGTAGGAGGTGGTGTGCCACCCTTCCGAGGTCTTTGCTTACTACGGAAGAAAATATTTTGCCGCTTGGTAATGGCAGTGGACTTGACTACAATCGAGACACTGTTGTCAATTCGTGCTCCACTAGCGAACAAATCAGATTCTTACAATAATTACGTAAATAACCTTCAAACAAGTACCTTCAAATATCAAAATTACGTGTAAACGACACAAAAAATAATCTAGCCACTAGACGAACTCATATTTTTTTTATATAATCTCTCATTTGTTTGAAGTAAAAAGTTCAGATGTCTATTAGTCGGTGTACTCCAACTGCGCCTATGAAAATCCTTCAATTCAGTCATTTTTATATACAAGGTGTTTTATCTCATTTGTGAGAATAACTCCAATTACAACGTGAAAGGAAAAATTCGGGAAGAGCCCAGTTGTCACCCAAAATGGTCAAGGTCATTATATTGTCATCCGGGATGGAACGAGTTTTCTCCCGGCTAGCAGGTACAAAAATTTTGACTCGACGTTGTTAAAGGGATTAAATTTCGGTTCCTGGTAATTTTGTCAACGAACCAAATTCAAAGTAGATATCTACATACACAGGTAGAAAACAAATTTTGGTTGTTTTATTCCATATTCAACTAGATAGGTAGTTATATTAAAATTAGAAGCGAACATAATGTTGTTAAAAATATTATGATATTGACCAAAAATTTTGTTGGAAAGTAGTGGGCACATGTAACTTGTAGTGGAACTAATCCGTTAGTCTTACCCAGCCCATGTTGTAAATCTTTATAACATGTAGATAGTAAAATCAGGTACCAGCCCTAAGTACGGTCTACTCGTTTACCTGAGGATGATTACTCGAAACTCGAAACCCATTTCTTCATCGTTTTAGCAAATCTATAGGTGTGTGATAATTTTTCTGCAACATAGCGGCATATACCACATCAAAAAAATTATATTTCTAGGAATCCCCGATATATCTTGTAAGAATGAATGTCCCGAAAACAAAATATTTATTGCATGGAAGATACCGAAAATGAACACTTTTAGAAAATCGTTAATACAAATAAAAATATTCTGGACGTTGACACCCTAACAGAAACTTTTGCAATGTTTATACTAACTAAATCTACTAAATTTGAAAGAGAAAAGAAATATGGTAGGAATTATTTTTTTCGTTGAACAGTAGTCAGTTTACATTGCAACACAGTTTCGAGCGCTATTTCAAAATTTTGGTAACCAATCTAGTGTGAATTTTTATTGGAGTATTGATTTTTCAAAAAAAATCGCTGATTTAAATAATTGTTTTTTTTTTTTTTCATTACGAAAATGTAATGCGTATTGCGGCCTTTTTTTGTAGTTTAAATCAAAATAAATTGAGTACTGACTTGCATAAAATCTTTTCAACAACATAAAACTCTTAATTTTCTGTTTATTTTTTACCTCTCGAGCTAAGTTTGTTTTGACGACTAGCGGTTTCATGACTCCTAAAGTATGAAAAAATAGGTCTGTCATTTCCGTCTGTCTGTCTGCTCTTGTCTGTCTGTCTGTCTGTCTGTCTGTCTGTCTGTCTGTCTGTCTGTCTGCTCTTGTCTGTCTGTCTGTCTGCTCTTGTCTGTCTGTCTGTCTGTCTGTCTGTCTGTCTGTCTGTCTGCTCTTGTCTGTCTGTCTGTCTGTCTGTCTGTCTGCTCTTGTCTGTCTGTCTGTCTGTCTGCTCTTGTCTGTCTGTCTGTCTGTCTGCTCTTGTCTGTCTGTCTGTCTGTCTGCTCTTGTCTGTCTGTGTGCTCTTGTCTGTCTGTCTGCTCTTGTCTGTCTGTCTGTTCTTGTCTGTCTGTCTGTCTGTCTGTCTGTCTGTCTGTCTGTCTGTCTGCTGTTGTCTGTCTGTCTGTCTGTCTGTCTGTCTGTCTGTCTGTCTGTCTGCTCTTCCCTATCTGTCTATCTGTCTGCTCTTCTCTGTCTGTCTGTCTGCTCTTCTCTGTCTGTCTCTCTCTCTGTCTGTCTGTCTGCTGTCCTTTGTCTGTCGTGTCTGTCTGTCTGTCTGCTTTCCCCTGTCTGTCTGTCTGCTGTCCTCGGTCGATTTTATTAGACACATAATTTCCGAAACCATTTGACTGATTGTTACGAAGTGTTTTATTTTAGAAATATTGCATATTGTAAAGTGATAACCACAATCTATCCCATCATCTTACCAACAATTTGATGACGTCACCTAAATATTTTGCATAGTAAATTCCATTTAAATTTTATAAAATAACAAACCTAAACTTGTGGTTTATGAATTCGCTTAGATTTGTTTTTTAACTATGGGATCATCATAAAAAAATAAAATTCGCAAAATCCATTGTTATAATTTTTCTAAAAAGCTGTATTTGTTGTCTAATATCTTCGACCAACTTCGTGGAAAATGGAAATAACTAAATACACACGTAAAGTACCATCAAAAACTGAATAAACTTATTAAAACTCCTGACTTTTTATATGACAGTTTATATGGCAACATAGTTTCGAGCATCATTCCAAAAAAAATTGTTAACTAAACTAGTGAGCAAACAATCCTTCAGAAAAAACCGTTTTTAAGGTATATTTTTTTAAAAATCCGAAACTAAACATTTTTTGCTAAAATGCAACGTTTTTACACATTGTTTATTTCGAAAGAAAATTATTGCCGTCGTCTTTTTACTTCCCGAGCGTAAGCTAAAGAAGAATTGAAATGGGATTCATCTAGAGAATGGATGCTTTCATGTTTGCTCCGCGTTTCATGACCTCTGGAATATAAAAAAGTAGGTCTCGTATTTGCGAAACTACCAGACCGATTGTTGTCAAATTTTATATGTATGTTAGGAATATCGTGTAAATGGTAAATCGCTAACCAAAATTTGTGTAATCATCCCACCAACAATTTCATAGCGTCATCTGTACTTGTGATTTATGAATTTACCTTGATTTTGTTTATTATTATTGTAATTTTTACTTCCCTCTCTTCTACTTTTACGTTTTCGCGACGTTTCATGACCCCTAGAGTTCGAAGAAATAGGTCTTCCGTTGCCGTGTGTCTGTCTATCTGCCGTCCCGGATTTTTGTTAGACATAATCTCCGAAAGTACTGGGTCGATTGTCGTCAAATTTTGTATTTATAGTAGGAAAATCATGTAGATGGTAAAACGCTAGCCAAAATTTGTCTTAATCATCCGCACAAATAATGTGATGACGTTACTTCAAAATTATACATTGTTAAATGGATTTTAAATTGTACAAAATAACATAGTGCCAGACATGTAGTTTATGACTCCGTGTTCAGTTTTTACCCGAAACATGCGTCCAGATTTTTGAAAAAAAAAAAATCAAAATTATAATTTTTTTGCAATTTAATTTTGAATCTGCAAAACCGAATGCTTTGAAATCTTTGAAATGTTTTAAAATTACCGTAAGCATGGTAAATTTTTGATCAAAATGTATGTGCTCATCCCTCGTAAAAAATTGATGACATCTCAAAATTTTGCAAAGTATGATGAGTATTTTGGGAATACTGTTATTTTTCAATTTCCATTTTACACTAAATAAAATAAAAAATGTAGAAAGGAGTTGGGCGGGGCTAAATTTAGCTTTTTTCTAGTTTTATGAGCAAGCAGTAGCCCCGACCACCCACCCACCCCTTCTTCATTCCAGTGACTACTCTTAATATTGTTCAGTCCTAACATAGCAAGTTGTAGCCCCGCCCACCCACCCATTCTTGATTCCACTGACCACTGTTAATATTGTTCAGTCCTAACTTGCCAATTTTTAGCCCCGCCCACCCACCCGAGTTTTTCTTAGAAGATATGTCATCTGCCAAAATCACTCTTAATAAGTACTAGCCCCGCCCACCAACCCTCTATTTTCTGTTCTCATTCTAACGATTTTATCTCTCTTCAATTGAGATCCACTTTTCATTCGGACTAGACGAAATGAATCACTGAAATGGAGGCAGGGTGGGTGGGCGGGGAAAATTGTATGTTCTTTTGTAAGGTGAGAATGGAAATTAATAGATCGTAGGTTGTTAAAAAAAGTGTTGATCGTAATTTTTTGCTATAGTACTTATTTGTTATAACATTTATTTCTGAAGAAAGAGACGGGTGGGTGGGCGGGGCTAAGTTTTAACTTTTTCATACAGAATCTTTTATAAGCAAGCAATATCCCCGCCCACCCACCCCCTCTTCATTCAAGTGATTAATCTTAATATTGTTCATTCATTTACCAAAATCAATCTTAGGTTAACAAATACTAGCCCCGCCCACCTGCCAGTTTTATCTTAGCAAGTACTACACTGCACCAATCCAACGTGTCCTTGCAAAAATGTTGATGAGGTCATCACAAAATTGTATAAAGTAACTCAACTCGAAAATTCTTGATATGTTTCATTCAACTTTCGGTGCGAGGGAAGTTCGGT